AAACAATTTAAAATTAAAATTAAAACGGAACAGTAGAGAAATATATATATATATATATATATAATATATATATATATATATATACAGAAAATACAGTGAAAATTTGCTTCAAAATTTATTCGAAAACAACAGATAATGTGTAATTTTGGTTATAAATAATGAATCGCCACTGAGGAAGGCATTTTCATTTTCAAAATTGTAATAGGCCTATTTAAATAAATGTTTTAACCCTGGTACCTGGTAACTAAAATTTAATTATATTTATTCAGCTAAGTTATACGGCCAGAAGAAAATAAGGTAGACAAAATCATTTATTACCATCATTTTTATCATTATATAGTGTCATTAATTAAGAATGGTTTTATTAGTAACAACTATAGTGATTTTAAAGCGATAATCATTTTCTTGTGTTTTTGAATGTTTGTAGTTTAAAGTAATATTAAGAATGTATAACCTATAACTACGTACTTTGGATAGTGCTTATAGTGTGTGAAACTGGTGTGTTAATTTAATGTGTATGAACTAGTTTCTAAATAATGTGCTATTTATATGCTTCTTTTTATCATTTTAATGATGATTACATTCTTAATAATGCTAAGACTATTTTTGTAAACATTTAGTTCACAAAATTCGGTCTTTCACTGTATTCAAAATATATATAAATAGTAAATAAATAAATAAGAAATTATTTGAGCGTCTGTGTTGACGTTTTCATATTTTATCCAAGAAAACAAATGTTGCGTCCTGGCCCAGGGACACTCAATCGACCCCCTTTAAGTTCTTAAGTCTATGTTGATTTTTATTGGGTTATAGGCCTCAGTGTACATGCTAATGATACATGTGTATTGGATTTGGTAGTAGTAATTGTATAATGTGTTAATGTATGTAAACTGCTTGAAACTAAAATCACATATGTAGGCTATATAAATACTGTATATTTTATACACATTATAAATCAAGATATAAGGTGTCTTAGTCACTTCTGTATATTTTGTAAATAAGCAGATATACATTTCCTAGTATACGCATGTATAATAATGTAAATACTTTTCAATTAATTGTATATTTGTTGATAACAATGAAATACGGTATTTTTCAGTACTATTCTATCATTCAACAATCATCAAAATATTTATATGATTTTTGATACCATAACTTAGTAACTGTACATGATATGAATAAAAGGTATTTTTTACAATTGAATACTGACTATGTAGCCTATAATATTGTGAGTGAAGACAAAGTGCTAAATATTTTCTTATGGTATGAGGTCGGGGTGTATGGTGATAGGCACATTGATCCTCTACAAAGTATCCTATTCTCACTATCCACTTTTTATCTTAATATTGCACTTGGTCAGTAAAGTAAACACTTTATAGGCCTATTGCTAATAATTCTGATCAGGATTACAATATAATTTTTTTTAAATATGACTAAAACACTGAAACTTGTATTATGCAGTTTTTGATGATTTAAATGCTATGATGATTGAATAGAATATTCTTGTTTTAGAATATTAAAGTTTGGATAAGCAACTAGAAAACAGAATTGACAAATGACTTAGAAATCATGAACTGTAATGGGTTATTGATTAAAATCGCATAATGAGAATAAAAAGAGAAAAAGAAAAATCAATCCCTGCTAAAGCCAAAATGTACGCCTACAAAATTATTGGTTTAACCACTGGAAATATAAAATGCCAACTGGAAAGTATGAAGAATTGAGACAGGACTATACACAGATATATTCATATTAAAAATTACTATTTGTCAAAAATATTTCCATGGTCATGGTCTTCCATTAATAGTACTAACATTCAATTATAAAGACAAAAAAAAGAAAGAAAACATCAAGAAAAAACAAGAACAAAACTTGAATAAAATAGGCCTATTATTTTGTGTCTATAGAATTTGTGTCTATTGAATTTAATTGCAGGGGACCGTCGGAACCGCACAGGCCGTGCCGGCTTTGGCCGGACCACATTGTCTCAATTCAGTATATTTTTTTAAAATACCATATTTATTCAATTTAAGAAGTGTGTTTGAGAGGGTGTTTTTTCGAGGAAGGCGTTTATATTTTTGGTGTAAAATGGATATATATGCTAAAATACCGTCCTCGCGCGAATAAGCGCCCCGTTTGAATAAGCGCCCCTCTCGAATAGCGTGAACATTTTTAATCACCCCGTTTGAATAAGCAACCCCCTCAACAATATTATGTGATTGTTTTTTGGAAGCCACTATCAATCATTCATGGGACTGTGGTTGGCATGATTTGAGCTGCAGAGTCCACGTTTTCTTCTTATGTCAATTTTAAAATGAGAATATTTCTCCTGGACAGATGAGAGTTCTCCAGAGTATCTTTCCAATTTTCCTCTCTAATCTAGGAAAAGTCCTATACTTTCTGCACCTTCAGCACGTTCTGCAAGCCCTGCAATGATCCTGCTAATCTCAATCGGCAGATGGCCAACAAGTACATCTGCTTTGTGTAAATGCTTACAGCATTCTTGTCACGAACCATGCTCTCTCTGGATGATTATTTTTTCCGCACCAGAACTATCCGTAATCTTACGTTTCCGGATGTCCTTATGTAATCTTTTTTTTTTCATTCAAAAAGCGCCCCTTGAATTTTCCAAGTTCCCCTAAGAACCCCCCCCCCCCAAGTCATCTATTTCCATAAGCGCCCCGTCAATTTCCACTCTGTTTTTATAAGCACCCCGTTTGAACGAGATCCCCGTTTGTTGAATAAGCGCCCCTCAAAACACACACAAAAAATATTTTAAGCGCCCGGTATACGCCCCTAATGTAAATGTGAAACTACAACAATTACCGTCAAAATGTGTTATTGCGTGCTTGATCCCAGCCAGTTATAAAAATGTAATTCTAATGGAGTAAAACATTAATAAAATGTGGTGATAATGATGTTGCTTCCATTAGATTTGTTTATATTCATTGGGGGGGGGGGCGTTTATTTGAGGAAGAATAAACACGGGGCGTTTATTCGACAGGCGTTTATTCCAAACGCTCTAGAGGGGCGTTATTCAAAGCGCCGGGAGTTTATTCGAATAAATATATTGAAACCTCTCATTTATTACCTGTATTTTCGCATCACATTGTCTTTTGAATTTTATATATCTAAACAAAAATCCACCATGCTTTTTGTATTGCCTAGGCCTTGGCGGGACATTTGAACTTTTTTGACAGTCTATAATTTTAGTAAATAATTGATTTTGAAAAGTAGTATAAACATAAATATAACAATATAACCATGGACCTATTAATAAGATTAATAGGTCCATGATATAACTACAGTATAGGTCTAATATAAATTTGGGGTTAAGAGT